CTGCAAATTAAATAATAGAGGTAAAGCTATGGAAGGAAACAAAGTGATGTTGAGTGAAGAAGGGAGAGTAGAGCAGGGGACTCAGGACAGCCCAGCGGTGGCCCCCTTTATTCAGGGTGATGGAGTTGGGAATGAATTGACCTACTTTCATCACCTGAGGTCTGCCAAGTCACAGAGTGCAGAGTCTAGTCACTGAATGAGGTATTCAGGCCAAGATATACATCAAAACAACTTTGTATAATACAAAAAATTGAGCATTTGCTACAAAAACACAATTTGGTAAGAAATTATACCCACAGAAGGTTCTTCATGTTATTTACCAACTGTTAGAATACTTTATGTATAGAGTGTCAACTGTTGTGACGTAAAATTTATTGATTCATTTTCCTTCAGCTTAGTCCCTGATTATCACTACAGCGGAATGAACCACCAGCTATTCCAGCATATGTTTCACACAGCCTTCTAGCCGCAACCAAGTACTGGGAAACACCAATACACTCCCCATTTACACTAGTGCGTTTAAGTTTGAAAACGGCGTTTTAGATCAAAAACGATCCGCGTCCACACTAGTGTTTCACCTAGCTTTTCTGAACATATCTCCACACTACATCACCAAAAACGTATATCACGTGACCAATCGCGCACTCTGGGCATGCACGTTCTAGCGAATATATGCCGCTGCTGTAGTAAAAAAAGGCAGCGTTTAACTGCACAATGGCACCTAAAACAGACACTAGTGCAAACAACGCTCCCATTTATGTGTCCATGTTGTTGTTTACAGTGGAGGCCTGTCTGTTGTCTTCCGGTAGCGTTAAAGTGATGTGTTATAGTCATGTGATAGGGGTTTGACGAATAAGGGAAGGATACGCAATGAGACAAAAGCCCCAATCAGCTAGCGAATGTCGGCAGCTCCGCCTCCGTTTTCAGATGTCTCCGTTGTCCCCCATCCACACTGAGATGGAGCAGCAGCGTTTTAGAATGAAAACGGCCTTTCCTGCGTTTTCGGCGCTCGAAAACTCTGAGGTAGTGTGGACGGATGGCGTAACCGTATCAAAACTTATGCGTTTTCAAACTAAAACGCATTAGTGTAAACGGGGCCTAACATTCCAACACAATCTCACGGCAATTCGTAACTTTTTCATTTAGTGGCTAATTCGTATGAATTCGTACGATCTAATTCGTACAATTTAGTATGATTTGCTTATCCCCCAATGACGGTTGGGGTTAGGGGTGGGGTCAGGTGCCACGCCTCCTTTTTAAAATCGTACCATTTCGTACGAATTAGCCACTAAACTAACAAAACGTAAAATACTTACGTTTTCTCGTGAGATCAGGCTGAACATTCACACACACATACTTGTACACTATGGCCAAATTTTGTTAACCCAATTCACTTATAGCGAATGTCTTTGGGACTGTGGGGGAAACCGAAGCACCAGCAGGAAATCCACGCGAACACTGGGAGAACATACAAACTTCACACAGAAATGCCAACCGGCCAAGCCGAGACTTGAACCAGCGACCTTCTTTTCGTGAAGTGACAGTGCCAACCACTCAGTTGACATTAATTGTAAAATATATTGCACAAAATAACAAGTAATGCATGTAAAAAAAAACAAGTTGTCCACATAACAACAGATGGCTGTAGACTATTGTAATATGTCCTCTTGTAAAACTGCTGTGCTGCTTCAGACCAATACAGGTTCACAAAATGCAACATAGCCGTTATCAATCTTTATCACTATTTGCTGTAAAACGTAGGAAGCTACTGGAAAAGTGACATTGTTTTGTAAATATCTGACATACTGTCAAGTTACTGATAAAAGAGGTTACACTCTAGCAGCTGAACTAAATGTTGCTAGCTGCTCACTAACACTCATTATAAAATGACTTCTTTTTATTCTTAGTCAGTGGGCATCGAACCCCTGACTTAAGTGAGACATAAAGGTTTCCATAGTGCAGCTGGGGTCATGGTGGGACCACAATATAGAGCTAGTAACCTAGAGCGTTGTTTGTTTTTCTATTACTGATACAATGTAGGGCAGCATGGTGGCGTAGTGGGTAGCACAATAGCCTCACAGCAAGAAGGTCGCTGGTTTGAGCCCCAGCTGGGTCAGTTGGCATTTCTGTGTGGAGTTTGCATGTTCTCCCCGTGCTTGTGTGGGTTTCCTCCAAGTGCTCCAGTTTCCCCCACAGTCCAAAGACATGCAGTACAGGTGAATTGAGTGTGAAGTGTGTATGAGTGTGAATAAGTGTGTATGAATGTTTCCCAGAGATGGGTTGCAGCTGGAATGGCACCTGCTGCGTAAAACATGTGCTGGATAAGTTGGCGTTCAACTCCGCTGTGGCGACCCCAGATTAATAAAGAAACTAAGCCGAAAAGAAAATGAATGAATGAATGAAATTGTCTGTAGTGTATGTGTATGAATGTTTCCCAGAGATGGGTTGCAGCTGGAAGGTCATCCGCTGCGTAAAAGAAATGCTAAAAGAAATGCTGGATAAGTTGGCGGTTCATTCCGCTGTGGCAACCCCAGATTAATAAAGGGATTGAGCCGAAAAGAAAATGAATGAATGATACAATGTATTTTACATTACTGTTTATAAAAATAATGCTTTCAACACTCTAATTCATTACTCTTATCCATTTTTATATAAATTGGACTTCCAGTGGTTTACATTATGGGCGGTTTAAGTTTGATTAATGTACAGAAAATCAAATTAAGATGCCTTAATCAAGGATTTAAAAACATATATAATGAAATTTCAAATTGGTCAAATAATTAGTATATTATTAAGAGTTATTTTGTGATCTGGTGATGCACCCCATTAGGCATGATAATCTAAATCAGTGGTTCTTAAAGTGGGGGTCGGGACCCCATGAGGGGTCGCAGAACAATAAAGAGGGGTCGCCTGGTGATTTCCAAAAATCTACTTATTATTATTATTAGGCCATAACAATTACCATATTTTATCCATAACCAACTGAAGAGAAAAAAACAGTCGTTTATAGTAGCTTATTTACTAGTTCTATTGGATTGCGACCAATGTGGTAAATACATTATATTAAAGACAGCAATAGTGTCAGATGCAGCAGATTGATTTTCTGGCCCATTTACAGCACTGACATACATTAAAAAAATTTAAACAAAGAATAGACTTGGGTCTATTGGTGTGTGTGTGCCATTGCATGCAAGGTTTCGGTATTTATAACCACCTCAGAGGATATTGAGGGTTGCGAGTCACTGGCATTGTTATTTTGGGGGTTGCCGGCTGAAAAGTTTGGGAAACCCTGATCTAAATAATATCTTGAAGTGTGTTTTTTTTGCTGCAGTTTCCAAATCTCGTAATGTGTTAAAATCCAAATCCAAAGATTGTTAGGCTGTATTAATTAGGGTGACTGGGGCCAGGAACACTTTCCAAATGACATAGTTTTTTTGTTATCTTGAGGTTTCCATAATCCTAGACTAGACTGTATCCTGAGCGAATGTTTTGGCGGTCATGGAGGAATGGAGAGCATGAGACTGATTCCTGAAAGACCCCAGTGACAGATGAGTCTTCGCACTGATCCTGTGGGCCAGCCTGTATACCAGCCGGTGACCTACTCACACCTGCAGATTCTCTGCGATAGACATCCAGTGTTCTCCAGCCTACCGTGCCTAGACTGCAGCTCTGCACAGGAAGTTTGGCCAGATGAGAAATGGTCGTGCCCAACTGAACCTAGTTTCTCTCAAAGTTTTTTCCTTTACTTTTGTCATTTGGTGAAGTTTTGTTCCTTGCCACCGGCTTGCTTGGTTTTGGGACTTGTGGAGCTGTGCATCGATGGATTTGCTCTTCAGTGTCTGGACTTTAAGCAGCGAAATTTAAACCACACTTAATTGAACATCAACACTGAAAACTGGACTGACACAGCTCAATTTACTAGAAAGTCTATGTTAAGCTGCTTTGACAGAATATACATTGTAAAAGCACTATAGAAATAAAGATGAATTGAACTGAGTTGCAGATTTAAGATTTGAGGTAATAAAATTGTCAAATATATTCCTCAAGTGTGTGCTGAAAGCAGATTTCATTATCGTTTAGGATTTTAAAATTCCTGTAATCTGAGTCTGGCTTTGTGCTTATTAAAAGCATTGAATGCACCTAAGCTTGCAACTACACACAGACCCCTCTTTGCACAGCTAACAAAGCCCTGTCAGAAGATCTCGAGGATGAGGTCACTTAAAAAACAAAAACAAATCAATTAATTGAATTCTAAAAAAGGCAAGAAACACTTAATATAAAGACCAAAATCGTTGTAATATGAACAGTTTATTTTGACTTGGAGAACAACCTTGTAGCAGCATGAACCATTTGTGCAATGGATGACTGAGGGAGAACCAGATACAATGAGATGACCCGCGATTGCTAAAAACTGTAATTGACAACAGAACTGAACATACTGTATTTGCTTAGACAAACAAAGATCAGCATCAAGTATGACAACAAGACTCCTGACCTGTGAAAAGACTAAGGTCAGCCAAGCTGATCCTGGTTTCTAGAAGTTTACTTTTTCTGATACTCTCCTGGCTGTGGAATCTGAAATACTTGTGTGGGTTTTTCTTATGTTTTCCCCCTCTATGTTAAGCAGCTTTGACAGAATTTACATTGTAAAAAAAGACCTATGGAAATAAAGATGAATTGAATTAGGATTAGAGGACAGCAAAAAGGTCTCTGGTTCGAGTCCCAACTGGGCGAAATTGCATTTTTTTGTGGAGTTTGCATGTTCTCCCGAAGTTTACATGGATTTCCTTTTATTGCTCCAGTTTCCCATTAGATTCCAAAGACATGCAGTAAAATAAGAATTGAAAAAAGGTTAAATTGACTGTAGTGTATAAGTAAGTGTGAATTGGTGGACTGTTAATGCTGGAAAGGCATAAAACATAATTGGTGGTTCATTCCACTGTGGTGACCCCTGATAAATTAGATACTTAGCCGAAGGAAAGTGAGCGAGAGCGACTGTAAATTGAATAAAAGCATTTAATATAAACTACGAGGCTTATAAAAGGCTTATACACATGGTTATTAAATGGTTACATCTGTGTTGGCACATAATAATCACATCGCATACTGTACTTTGAAAGTTTTACCATTCTCCACAGAAATCAACCTATCAATTTTGTAATTACAATATATTCTGTAATGGATCAAAGATCTATATTAAAAATCTGTAGTATAAATAGACTTAGTTAGTATAACATGACAAAGATCATGTTGTTAGCTGCTTCTCTGAAGAAATATCTAGAGCATGATGTATTAAATCTCAGTGCGGAACTTGACAGTGGCATTCTTCATCTTCTCTTTGTAGACCTCATCGAACTGTTCATTTTGTGCCACAGTGAAGTGATTTTTCCAGTCTCCAACTTTACCTTTTGAAAAGAGTAGATAAAATGTTTTAGTCAGAATTCAGAGGGACTAAATGGGATGTCTCAGTACTTCCTTTACCTTTCCGCATGAAGGGCGATATCTTGAAGTCCATGACTGGCAGAGTGGAATAGTTGGTCATCTTGTTTTGTTTCATTGCATCAAACTGAACATCTTTTGTAATTTTCTCCCTGTCACTGACTGAGGTAGACAAACCCAAGAAGGAACACAAACGATCCACTTCACGTCCAGTGTCCTGGAAAAGACCATTTTTTTTCTCCCAACTACATTTATGACTGTATTTATAACTGATTTCACAGTTAAATGCTACTTTATGAACTTACTTCAACCAAATCCTCATAGAACAAGTATAATAGGTTAGAGTACGTCTGTTTTTTTTCCCAGTATCCATTCACATGGTCATACCAAGGACCAAACACACCTGAAAAGAAATGTCTGACGTTAAATCTAATTCCAATATTTATGTACAGCATGTAGGGGTTGCATGTAAAAAAGTTACAAACCGAAATTTAGTTAAAAGCTATATTGTTTTTGTAAAATTTTTGTATAATTTTAAAGAGCCCCTATTTTGCTGATATGCATGTGAGGTCAAAAACACTTTCATTGTTTTATAATATGCATTTATTTTTACCTAACTATCCCATATGAATCCTTTCGCAATTCATTTGTTCCCAAACCCCTCCTTAGCGCGAAGCTAATCTTTGCTGATTGGACCGATGACCCGGTCTATTTCGATTGGTCGACTACGTTCAGCACAAGACAGACAGAAATGCCCACCACGGCTACTGTATGAAGTAGCAGAAAGTATGTGACAGCCCAATGCAGGAATGCAATAAAGCAGGGTTCACCAACCTTTTGGAAACTGAGAGCTACTTCTTGGGTACTGATTAGTATAAAGGGCTACCAGTGATTAAATAACACATTTTTCTTAATTTGCTTTTAATTATATGTTATTATTAATAATTAATAATATTCATCTTTGTGAAGACATTGATCATGTTAATGATTTCTCACAGTAGTCGTCAACAACAATTTAACAAGGTAGATAAATATCAATATGCAACTCTTCGTTTGTCTGAAATTGTTTTAAAAGTTTTTTAAATATATAACTTAAAATAATTTTAAAATTTACACCTATGCAAGAGTGATTAAAAAAGAATACCTAAAAAAATATTAGATGCAGCTTACTCATATGTGGTGCTATGGTGAGCTATTTTCTAGGACAAGCCTGGGGGCAACTCATGTGTACCTGGCGGGCTACCTGGTGCCCACGGGCACCATGTTGGTGACCCCTGCAATAAAGCAATGCAGTTAAACACCAGCATATTACACTCCTCTTAAGCCTAACCCCAAGTAAAAACAACGATAACGATTAACTTTAGAGATACAGTTCAAGCACTGATCTGTAATAGATATGTGTTTACAAGCCGCGTGGAGCGATTACAACTTATAACATTCAATTAAACACATATTTTGCAAACTACACAAAACGAGGCAACAATTTTAATGCCAAATGTTATCATCTGGAGGAAGAAGAAACTGGTCCATTTGAACTGTAAGTTACTTACAACGTCCCTCTCAAAGTCTGACAAAGTCCAATAGTCTCTGCTGCTCCTTCAATAATAGCAAACGGCCGATGAATTCCACGCTGCAGCATAGGTTATTGTATTAATCGTCAGAAAAAATCCCAGGAATAAACACAGCAAGCTGTTGGCTATACTGTGGTATTGTTGTGAAAATTAACTTTAACCCTTTATTCCCTACAGACAAATCTCTATTTGTCAGTGATGGTCATCTTTGCGTCATGATCAGTTCTGTGATCCCCTGCGCTTCCGCTAGTGTCTGAAGTGAAAATGTGTTCACATTTTACCAGAACTGGAACTACATATTCGGTGATGTACAGTATCGACATCAATGCGATCAAACAAAAGATCCGAACCTAACTTAATTAGTTTATTCTAACTATTTCGCTAAAGACTCAATAGTTTTAAACAAGGTGCACTTTTTAGATTTAAACCTTAGCTGGATGTTTTCATTCACTAAGTGCTGTTACACACTGCATGGAAGATCAGTTTTTTAAAACCCATAATAGGGGCTCTTTAAAAAATATTTTAAAATAGTTGAAATTGTAACTTCAATGTTATTTATTTGTATTAATATACATTTGATTACTTACTCTTTCCATCCATGAATCTGTGTAAGAAGGTGTTCCAATCCCCTGGATCAGGCTCTACTATGTTCATTCGATCAAAATGAAAATAGGAAACCACATTGTCCTTTGCATTCCGAGCTACATACACAACCTGGAAAAAGTGAACAACGTGAAGGACGTTATGTGTTAATAAGAGAAAACCATTGTCACTAATTCACAGAAAGATGCCAGAATAATGCTGTTTTACTGAATTCCTAAATGACAAAAATCATTTACTATGTCAAGTTTCTCCGTGGGTGTTTAGTTTACAATGGACATACCTGTAATGCTAACTCATTATACAAGTAGCTCAAACACATTTATTAAGAGACGGGAACTGGTGAATGTGCTACAACTTAAATCAAAAAGTAAACACAAAATAAAAGTATCTGGAGCTTCTCCTTGGGACCAGACGCTTGTTAAACACTCGCGGAAATGGGTCCCACCCACACTAATCATCAATACCAAGCCGATCGATAACAGAGCTTGCACTACATGTCATCGCAATACATGTTACATTTTTTGAGAGATGCACATCAGGGTTGAGGTCATACACGTGCACTCGATACAGAAGTATAAATCAGCCTTTACCCATATGTGACCCATAGTAACATAGGACACTAGGAACTATACTGTCATTCTGGCATATTAAGCAAGGACCTTTGCTGCAGTACCATGGCTGCAGCAGGTGCAATGATATTACACAGTTACCTAGTTAGGGACTATTTTCCGGTGCTGCACAATTTAATTTCTCCTGCTGCAGCCATGGGAGAGCAGCAAAGTTCCTTGATTATTACACCAGAATGAGAGTATAGTTCCTAGGAAAAATCCACTTTTCATTTTCAATCAGTCTTTCTACACAGTCCAATTACAAAAGAAAATTACAGATTTTAGAGGAACTTTGAGTTAGATTGTAATGATCCAATTCAATGAGTTACGCTAAGCTAAGGTAAAAGTGCTCCCGCTAGACCTGGGGCCTCATTTACGTAGACTTGCGTGGAATTGATACTAAAGCATTGCGTACGGAGTTCAAAATTCAGATGTATGAAACCATGCGTACACGGAATCTCACGCATATTCTCGCAGCGTTGATACATGAGGCCCCTGAAGATTAGCTGAATGGAACTAATTAACTCTAGGAATCTTTCAAAATGTGCCTGTTTCCCCTCAACAGTGGAATGTTCTATTCTAGATGTGAAAAGATTAAAAAAAAAAAAAGATTTATTTATCATATATTCTAAATGCAGGCATATACCGTGCGAACTGATATTTGTTAGAGTTTATGTGAACATAGGTTAGACCAGGGGCCGGCAAACTCGGTCCTGGAGGGCCGGTGTCCTGCACAGTTTAGCTCCAACCCTAATCAAACACACCTGCTTATAGATTTCGTGTGATCTTAAAGACACTGATTAGCATGTTCAGGTGTGTTTGACTAGTGTTGGAACAAAACTCTGCAGGGACACCGGCCCTCGAGGATCAAGTTTGCCCATCCCTGAGTTAGATTCAATGATATACGACACAGTTGACCCTTCGCTAAGTCCCGCCCTCCCTAGTTACTGTTGCTACGCCTGTCAAGCATTCGTGCCTGGCACATCTATTACATTATGTACAGTATGCGACGGTATTAGACTGTAACGCCACTCCAAAAGAGGTAGCCCTCGCCCGACTACTGATTCAGCTCTGCTCCCTCTACGCTCACTTACTGTTTGAGCCATATTTCAGCGAGAGCTCAGGCCATGCTTCTTTGCGAAGTATTGCCAGATTACCTGCCTTACCAAGCGTTGTTCCAAGTGACTTTCATGACTGATATGCTGTGTATGACCCTGCCTGCCTTGATCATGTACATTCTCTGTCTTTGCCCTATTGATCTGTTTAGGACCGATTGTTGTTATTACTGAACTTCTGCCTGCACTCTCACTCTGTCGTCTGGATTTGCCCCTGTATTTGTTAATTGGATTAGACTGCTTACATGTTGCTGACTCTTTGCCTGTTTACTCGTTGATGTCTTTGCTTAACCCCTTTAATAAACTTATGCATATGGATTCTAACAAAGATTGTTGTGTGGCAGTTTTCAGATGCAGATTAGCAAAGGGTCAATTGTATAACCTAGTGAATTCTGAAGCATTAGCAAGAAATTCCATGCCAAAAACATGGATAGAGGAAAACATTGCTATTCTTTATTTTTATTTGTATCTCTCTCTCTCTCTCTGAGCTATTGATACAAGCTATGAATGTTTACTACACAAAACACAAAATACAGGTTCATTTTCAGCACCAAGAAACCAAACTGGTTACCCGCGTGTGTAAATTACAAAGTCAATTTTAACCTTGTCCACTGTAAAATACTATTTCTGATGACTCATGCATGACAGTCAGTGAGTTTATTATCCTGATTGGTCAACTTTAGCTTTTTCCAAGCACACACACCTCACGAATTCAAGTCGACAGCTCCTGAAGTTTTTTTTTTACATGTCATAAAAATGAGGGGGAGCTTGTGAGATGCTCAGCTTGGCTTGTAATAACCTCTCACATAGTACGAGGCACAGCCACACAATCGTCAACGATTTTCAAACTATTTCTACAGACAGGAAAAACATTTGTACAAGCTTGCATGACAGCAAAAACTGCACCATGTATGTCAACTTTAAGTCCTTGGACAAAAAACTAATTTAACTCTGGTGGTGAAAACGACAAAGCAAAAAAAGTTAATAGTAAAATTAGAAAATCCTCTGTGCACACAAATATTAGTAATACACATTAAATGACATAATCATGAAATGTTGTATACTTTACCCTTGAGTTCTGCTCCCAGAAGGACTTGGGGATAAGCTGAACAGGTAAATGAGTTTTAATGAGACGAGGAGAGGTGGTCATGTTATCAGCCAGTTCCGTTCCTAAAAATTAAATAAATGTGGTTCTAAATTGTAACCTTGGACCACAAAATCAGTATTAAGTCTCGTTTTACGAGACGTTTTTCTGCATTCAAACCCAAGCAATTTACACTGGCGTCAAGCAGAAGAGTATGCAAAGTCACTCCTTGATGTTAGATGGGCCTACACAACTTTAAGCTTCCGACAGCCGCTTGTAACACAGAAGAAGAGGAAGAGAGGAAGTTCACTTGCTTGTTGTTAAAGTTACTGGTGATCTTAACAAGCATCAATGGTTTAAGCAGCAGCTCAAGCTCTAGCGATGAAGAAATGATTATGGTTTACTAGAGCAATAAGCAGCTCCAAGTTCATATCGCCTCAGGGCATCTTCTTCAATGTGCGCTCGCATTGACAGTTTTGCGCTTGAGCGCCTCCAAGTGCTGTTTACTGTATCTTCATCAGCAGCACGTGAACTAAAGTGGCAATCTAATTGGTGGAGAAGGTAATAACGTGGCGCGTCAAATAAAAAAAAAAAACGAGCATGAAGCTTTTTTTTTTTTTAAAAAAGACGCTTTTGCGCCTGGTGTCAAATCACATTGACGCCCTTTATACAGTCACGAGGCGTTAAACATTGACGGAAAACGCAAGCAAAAAATGTCTTGGTGTGCACGGGCCTTTAAGTTGCAAAATCTAAAAATGTAAGAGACATTTTTATTAGATTAATTTTTATAATAATTGTTTGTCTTTTATATACAATTTTTGAGACTACGTGCCTACAGGTCAAAGGCCATTGAATAGGAATGTGACAGTGGAGGTGTGGTTGACTGGTGCACAAAAATTTGACGTTGGTCTTGACCTTGCCTCTGCTCTGTGAAAATTCTAATGCAATCTCACGGCAATTTGTAACGTTGTGATTTAATGGCTAATTCGTACAATTTTGTACGATCTAATTCTTACAATTTAGTTTGATTTGGTCATCACCCAATGACGGTTGGGATTAGGGGTGGGGTTGGGTGCATGCCTTTTTTTTTAAATCGTACATTTTCGTCAACTGAACTCCACAATTAGCCACTAAACTGACAAAACGTGAAATACGTTTCTTCGTGAGATCAGGCTGGAAATTTCTCTTCCAGTCCAACATGTTATTTTATTCATTTAATTAAGGAGCTCTATTCTACAGTACATTTGTTTATTGTAAATAAAACAAATACTATTTCTAAATGATTAACTCTTCATAGATTTATTTTCTCCAACCAATCACAAGCATCAAATATATCCCAGTCAACACCAAATGTGGCATAGAAAAAGGAATGTGAAACTCTGGATAAATTGTCACTTTAATATACACCATGGGTGTCAATTCCAGTTACTGGAGGGCCGCAGCTCTGCATAGTTTAGTTTCAACCCAAATTAAACACACCTGATCAAACTAACTGGGTCCTTCTGGCTTGTTTGAAACCTAAAGGTAAGTGTGTTGAAGCAGGGTTGGAACTAAACTGTGCAGAGCTGTGGCTCTCCAGGAATTGACAACTGTGATATACACCATAATGAATGTGTGAACACAATGATAAAGATGGATTATTTATATAGTCTGACCTGATGCTATCACTTTGAAACAAGACTCCAGGAATGGCACTCTCATGTAGATAGGCTGAGAAGTGTGTTCCTCTGGTGCATTTTCACCAAAATACAGAAGGTCTAGAATATATGAAACCCAGGTGGTACCTAAAAGATGAATGGAGAATAGGAACACATGAAATAACAAACTGCAAACTTATAAAATTATAGTCTGTATTACATTTTTGTACTCAAGATTATCGCATGCCTTCTGTATTACATGTCTGAAATCTTAGGTAAATGGCTTGTCAAATATAGATTCAAAGATGTCATGACAGTCTTAATCCTGCTTGATAGGTTCTTAATTGTACCTGCTAGCAATCACATCATCTACATAGCACAGCTGATAGTCTGCTGTTGCCTACTCAACAATTTGCTACTTAACATTTAAATTCTTATACACTACCTGACAAAAGTCTTGTCGCCAAGTTTTAGGAACAACAAATAATAACTTGACTTTGATCATTTGGTATCAGAAGTGGCTTATATTAAAGGCAAAGGCCTCTACATTACGCTTATTTCACCAAAATAAAATATGATCATGCCTTAATTTTTAACGATTTAATTAGGACAGTAAGGCCTTACTTTGTTCAGACAAAAGTCTTGTGACTGAACAGAAAAAAATGTACAGTATAGAATTTAAAGTCATGGTGCAGTGGAGAAAGAATGATTATTGTGTATGACTCCTATGATTTTGGACGACTGCATCCATACATCACTGCAATGACTAAGTAAAGGAATCTGGAATGGCAAAGAAAGCATTCTTGCAGTACTCCTAGAGTTCATCAAGATTCTTTGGATTCATCTTCAATATCACCTCCATCTTACCTCTAACATGCTCAATAAAGTTAATCCTGGAGCACCGTGACCTTCTTTGCTTTCAGGAACTTTAATGTGGAGGCTGAAGTATGAGAAGGAGCGCTATTCTGCTGAAAAATTTGCCCTCTCCTTTGGTTTTTAAAGTAATGGGCAGCACAAATGTCTTGATACCTCAGGCTGTTGATGTTGCCATCCACTCTGCAGATCTCTTGCACGCCCCCATATTGAATGTAACCCCAAACCATGATTTTTCCTTCACTTAACTTGACTGATTCTGTGTGAATGTTGGATCCATAGGTGTTGATAGGTTCTTGTACCTGCTAGCAATCACATCATCTACATGGCACAGCTGCTGTTGCCTACTCAACAATTTGCTACTTAACATTTACATCCCAGTAAGTCTTCTGCAGTATCTGTGATAATTGGGATGCAGTTCAACAGATGATACATCAGAAAAATCCACCTTCTGCCACTTTTCCAAATGATCAACTAGAAGTCAATTTATTTGTTGCTGTGATGGATGACGAGACTTTTGTCAGGTAGTGTATATCTAAGAAATGTCAACACTTTCATTTCTCTATATCTGTATCTATTTCACTATATCTATGTATTTATATTGAATTATTAGATTAATAATCTCTTAATGAACAGTCTTCAGTTTTTAGCCAAGTGTCAGGATTATTAGTCTTGCAGAGGCTTATGACAGCAGTGTTTATGCGAATACATTTGTAAGCAAAAGCTGTGAGGATACACCGTCTTAGTTACAGATAGGAGAATAGGCTAACAAGGAACTTTTTGTGCTTCAATGGGGTTCACCATATTAAGCTGTGAAAACCATTTATTTTCACTTCCAACAGCAACCAACTTTTTAAATAAGAGTATAAGGGTCAGCTAGAACACTTGCAACTAGCAATTAGGCATGCCGGCACAGGCACACATGGTCATGGACCAATATTGTTAAGCCATTCACTATGGTACCCCAGGCACAACTAGTTACAGGCAACTAGTGTTAAGGCATTTGGCATGGTAGCCCTGACACACATACAGTTGAAACCAGAAGTTTAGATACACTCAAAAAAAAAAAAGGAACATAACCATTTTTTTTAAATGTCTGATGTTAAATCCCTCTAAACGTATACTATTTTAGGCCTGTTAGGATTACCTTAACGATTTACATTTGCTAAATGCCAGAATAATGAGAGATGGCCCTGTGAGCAGTTTCCTCACCTGCTTTGGGGTAAGTGGCGATCAGAATATCATCAGGCCTTGCTTGAAAGTTTTTCACCTTTTCCCAGTTTTCAGTGAAGTGGTTGATCATTGAGATACCCTCAAACTCAAAAATTGTAGGCCTAGATGATATCTACAATATATAAAAAAAGTCAGGTTACTGATGTCGTTTCCACAATCTAGTCAATAAAAAAACTTAACAATAACTTGATTAGTCTTCTTAATATATTTATTAAATGTTACAAATCTCCAAAGTGCATTCAACTGATTATAATATATTAAGTTAACTGGAAGTTATTTACAAATTATATTCATTTATATTTTCTAACCTGTATATTTCTATACATTTTTGCATTGCAGTTGTTGTTAATTTTCATTCAAACTTTGTTCATTTTTCAATCCTTTTCACAATAAAGAGTGAATGAAAAGGGTTTTGACGTATTACTTAATAATGCACTTCAAAACACTTTATTAAAAGGTTTTTATTTAAATAAGTTTTCTTTACTCACAGAAGAAAAGTCAGGCATGTCCATTGTGGTGAAACTGTGTTTCAAAAAGCAGATCTTGTTCAATTTTCTTTTGCTCTTCTCAAACACGTCCTGCAGTTCCTTGTTGAACTACATACCATTCTGTCATGCAATGCTGATGTCACAGTTTATCTTGTTCTTCCCTCTTTCCTCCACCCCCTCTCCCTACGTGTGCTTCGCACGTAGTTTCACACAGGGTTTTCAAGTCCAGACAGTTTTCACTGTGCACTTTAGCTTGATTATGATAACAGATGAAGTTTCCGGCAGTTTTTGCACAACGTACACCCACCATCCCCCTACTGTTTACTCGGTTTAAGATTAGTCCCTTTTTAGTGTTGCAACAACAAAGTAAAAGAAACACAAAGGAAACTTCCCTGTGCTAGAGGGGTGCCTCAAATATTCGCTTAGGGGTTGTTACAGGAAGTTAGCATTGGTCTCAAAGGAGCAGTTTCTTGAGACTTTGAGAAAAACAGACCTTTCACCACAGTAGTTTCAAATTACTTCCAGCCTCTTTTTTGCAACCTAAAGCGACAACTGTATGCTACTTTTAAATATTTTGACTGGTGTTTCTTGATTAAATGGACACTAGGAGGTGGGAAACAGTAACAACTTTTGTTGTAAGGAAAATAATTGATGAGTATAGCATTGTTTGCAGATTGATCCCACAATAAAACAAAGACCATTTTCATGATGTGCATGAGTAGAAAACATGCATAGGTGAAACTACGCCATCTTGTGGACATTTCTTATAAACATATACATTGAAACTTACCTGGACCCACGTATTAAGGGTTTTGCAGAACTATTTCAGACTTACCAAATTTCTCAAGAGCCTAGTATTATACCTATAAGGATTTGGACACACAGGCTACCAAATATATACAAAAAAGTTCGCTCTCGCTCTTTCCTCTCTGGCTCTTTTTGGGGCCTATTCTCTATTCTTTGTCTCTCTACCTCAGATAACTTTAATTATATTTAAACTGGTTACAATTAATATCATACATTTATATAATTGTATACTTTTTTGTAGCACATATACAATATAGTCACATATTTTTAGCTATTATAACTGCTCTTATTTCTATTTTTGGTATAAGATTGCAGAAGGATGGTTTGACTAGAAATTAACAGTTTTTCACCATCATAAACATTTCTTTTTAAAACATTTTTTTTTAAAACAACCATCTCTAGGGTTTATAGAGAATGGTGTAAAAAAGAGAAAATATCCAGTGAGCGGCAGTTCTGTGGGCGCAAATGCCGTGATGCTAGATATCAGAAGAGAATGGCCAGGCTGGTTCCAGCTGATAGAAAGGCAACAGTAACTCAAATAACCACTCGTTACAACGGAGGTATGCAGAAAAGCATTTGTGACTTATCTGCAATAAGTCTGTTTTTTTCCACCAAGACATGGTCATACTAAGGACCAAATTCACCTAGAAAGAAAAGTCTGATGGGTAAATCAAATTCCTAAGAGTCCAATATTTGGATTAAAAAAGGAAAAATATATTAAAACAGATCAAAATGAAAAAAGGAAACAACAGTGTCTTTTGCATTCCGAGCTACAAGCAGAATACAGAAGAGCATCTCTGAATGCACAATACGTCAAACCTTGAGGCGGATGGGCTACAGCAGCAGAAGACCACACTGGGTGCCACTCCTGTCAACTAAGAACAGGAAACTGAGGCGACAATTCGCACTGGCTCACCAAAATTGGACAATAGAAGATTGGAGAAACGTTGCCTGGTCTGATGAGTCACTATTTCTACTACAACATTCAGATGGTAGGGTCAGAATTTGGCATCAACAACATAAAAGCATGGATACATCCTGCCTTGTATCAACGGTTCAGACTTGTGGTGGTGTAATAGTGTGGGAGATATTTTCTTGGCATAGTACCAATTGAGCATTGTGTCAAGACCACAGCCTAACTGAGTATTGTTTGTGACCATGTCCATCCCTTTATGACCACAGTGTACCCATCTTCTGATGGCCACTTCCAGCAGGATAGTGTGCCATAAAGCGCAAATCATCTCAGACTGGTTTCTTAAACATGACAAACAGTTCACTCTACTCAAATGGCCTCCACAGTCACCAGAACTCAATCCAATAGTGCACTTTTGAGATGTGGTGGAACGGGAGATTAGCATCATAGATGTGCAACCAACAAATCATGTTAATATGGACCAAATCTCAGAGGAACGATGGATTAAGGCCATACTCACACTAGGTACAGTTGCCTCGAACCGGGCCAAAGCACGCTTGTCCTCCCTCCCGTCTCCCTCGACGGCCCGCGCTCACACCATATCGGGCCTCGGCACGCTTGCGTCATCGCTGCTGCTCTGTTCAGTGAAGCGCTCTCTATGGCAAGCCTTTTTAGCATTTAAATCTTTGTTCTGACTCCATAAATATATTTAGAGATATCTCTAATTATATTTTGATTAGTCATAATTATAATTGAACTACTCAGAATGACAATTAGAGATATCTGCAATTACAATTGTACTAGTACGAAATCAGATTGGAGATATCTGCAAATATATTATGACTAGTCATATTCCTCCATTGACTTCCATTGAAAAATATTTGCAGATATCTCTAAATGAGTTTTGATTAGTCACAATTGTAATTAGAGACATCTCTAACTGAGTTTTTACTAGTCATAATACATTTGGAGATATCTTTAATTCGTCATATTTAGAGATATTTACAAATATATTTGAAGATATCTCTAATTAATTTACTAATAGTCGAATTACAGTTGTAGATCTGTAAATCTGTGCTCGAGTTTGGCTTGAGGACATTTCCCTACCCCTTTCTCTCTCTCCAACTTCGCTTCCTGTCTAAATAATGTTCCATCTAATAAAGGCATAAAAGGCAAAAAAATAGCCTTAAAAAAAAGTTGCGAAGTCTGAACTTACTTGGAGAGGATGCAAAACTTTTGAGAGGACTAAACTTTGAATGGTGAGAGGAAACCGGGAAACCTGGAGGAAACCCACAAGGACACAGGAAGAACATGCAAACTCTCCAGAGCCGTTGGTGTGATGTGATCCTCCTGAAATTAGTTTATAAATAAACCTCACATCAAGAGTTCACACTTAGCTGATGATTTACAAAAGCTTGTTTGGCATGCTGTCCCGGGAGAGAGCCCCGGGCTCAAGGGCTCCTTGAGCCCGGGGCTTCCTCCCGTTTGCAGAGCAAGAGGGGAGCCTGAGCTCGATGGATCTCAGAACTCCCCTGCTGCGGTAGCTAAGGGAACACAAGGGATTAGACAAGCTTGATTGTTATGCATTTTGAATGTCTTTGGATGGTGGGAGGAAACCGGAGAACCCGGGGAAAACCCACGCGGACACGGGGAGGACATACAAACTCCTCACAGAAACACCCACCGATCCTGTGGAACCAGGGCCGGCAGTGTTCTTGCTGTGGGGCTCACAGTGCTAACCACTGGGCCGCCGTGCCGCCCAATCACAGGTAAAGGAGAATAGGGGAGGAGGGGGGTTTCTTCCAAACGAAGATAAAGTGAACTGAAAACTGTGGCTATTTATAGTAGCTTAGGTCTCATATGATTGGAAGATAGTGATTAGCAAATGCGAGACTGGCCGTGATAAATCATAAGCACGTGATCCTCTCGAAATTAGTTTATGAATAAACTTCACTTAAGGGTATAGGAGTTTTAGAATACGTTCATTCATTGGGCATAGTCCCTTTCTCAGGGGTCACCACAGTGAAATGAACCACCAATTATTCTAGCATATGTTTTACACAGGGGATGCTCTTCAAGCCGAGAACCCAAAACTGGGGATCACTCATACACTCCAGCATTCACTCATACACTACGGTCAATTTAGTTTGCTCAATTCACCTATAGCGCATGTCTGGACAGTGGACTGTGGGGGGAAACCAGAGCACCTGGAGGAAACCCACATAAACACAGGGAGAACATGCAAACTCAACTGACCCAGCCGGGACTCGTCTTGCTGTGAGGCGACAGTGCTAACCACTGCCACCAATATTAAAAGACATTAATTTTCTTGTCGGCTTAGTCCCTTTATTAATTCAGGATCGCCACAGCAAGTTTTTACGCAGCGGATGCCCTTCCAGCCACAACCCATCTCTGGGAAACATCCACACACACACATTCACTCACACACTACAGACAATTTAGCCAAGCCAATTCACCTGTACCACATGTACCAGAGCACCCGGAGGAAACCCATGCGAAGGCAGGGAGAACATGCAAACTCCACACAGAAACGCCAACTGAGCCGAGGTTTGAACCAGCGACCCAGCAACCTTCTTGCTGTGAGGCGACAGCACTACCTACTGCGCCACTGCCTCGCCCAATATTAAAGATATCAAAGTAATATCACAGAACATTCTTGGATGAAATATTCTGGATGGTGTTGTGTGAAACAAAAATAATAGACTTAAAATATGTTTTAAAAACAATAGCTTTATTTGAACCAATAAAACAGAAAAAAAATCACATGGCAGGGATGTCAAACTCAATTCCTGGAGAGCCGCAGCCCTGCACAGTTTAGTTCCAACCCTAATCAAACACACCTGATCTAACTAATTACTGTAAGTCCTCCAGGCTTGTATGAAACCTACAGGTAAAGCTGCGGTCACATTAGAGTTTGAGCATGCGATATTCTGTCGTGTGGCGCTGTGAAAAAGGGCGGGATTAAACAAGCTTATTAGACATATTTAAAAACTAGCGATTGCTCCATGTTTTAAATTTCTTTCTAGAGATTTCATGTTTTGATCCTCGATTGTTCTCATGCAGTCAAGTGATGCAATTTCGCAGGTCAAAGTACACCAAGCTTGAACTTTGCAATGCAGCAACCTGTGAAACTTGACGCATGACCCTGCGTTTCCGGTCTGACGCATTCATGTGAGTATGAATGGAAGTCTATGGGAGGAAAAGACCAGTGTGACTTAACACTATCACTGATCAACACAGGCTCATCTGGGTACTTTGAATCATCTTGACCACAGGTGTCAAACTCAGTTCCAAAAGGGCCGCAGCTCTGCACAGTTTAGTTCCAACCCTAATTAAACACACCTGATCAAACTAATTGAGTCCTTCAGGCTTGTTTGAAACCTACAGGTAAGTGTGTTGGAGCAGGGTTGGAACTAAACTGTGCAGGCCTGTGGCCCTCCAGAAATTGAGTTTGACATCCCTGCTTTAAATAGTGTTCTTTCACAATTTTTTTGGGCAACCAACAAAATTTCAATCTGGAGTTTCTGATTCACATAAAAAACAATTCTTACTAGCTGCAGGAAGGGTTGGTCAAACAGATCATCCTGTTCAAAACTCATATCTTAGAAGATCTTAAATGATCCTTTATAAAATAACATATGCAAGTAAACAGATTTCTAAGTAGGCCAGTGGATGATAATATTTTTTTATATATAGATTATTCTGGTTAAAGATCAAGAACTCTAGTTTTAAATCTCAGTGCGGAACTTGACAGTGGTGTTCTTCATCTTTTGTTTGTAGACCTCATCAAACTGTTCATTTTGTGCCACAGTGAAGTGATTTCTCCAGTCTCCAACTTTACCTACACAAACAAAACGAAAATCAAAGCGAGTGGAAGTAAAGAATTTAGATTTAAAAGTAGATGCTTTATTGACCTTTCCGCATGAAGGGCGAGATCTTGAAGTCCATGACAGGGAGAGTGGAATAGTTGGTCATCTTGTTCTGTTTCATTGCATCAAACTGAACCCCTTTTGTTATTCTCTCCCTCTCTGCGGCTGAAGTGGACAATCCCAAGAAGGAGCACAAACGAGCCACTTCACGTCCAGTGTCCTGAGCAAGACATGTACATTAAATATGCTTGCCGATTTTGTTTTATTACAAATTTTTCTAAGTTAGTAACTTTATAAACTTCACTTACTTCAACCATATCCTCATAGAACATGTACAGTATGTTAGAATATGTCTGTTTTTTCTTCCAATATCCATTAACATGATCATACCAAGGACCAAATACATCTAAAGAAAAATGACATATTTTAGAACAGATACAAATTTTATGATTTAAAAGGGCATTTTGGATGTCTCGCATAATATCGTCACTCTCCAAACGTTTATGTAGTAAAATTTAAATAAAATTATATATTTTCTGACAATAAAAACATTTTCCCTCAACATTTTTCATTGATTCTTTAATCAGATGATTCCTAACTCACTATAAATACCCAGAGTTTTCTTATCTCAATATTTTCATCTTAAAGAATCCCACTCCTACTCCCCCTTCTTTTCCAGATGGCAGACACAACGGCCCAGTGATTAGCACTGTTGCCTCACAGCAAGAATGTCTTCGGGTATATTCCCTTCTAACCAGATTACATTTCTGTGCGGAGATCGCATGGTCTCCCCGTGCTCGCGTGGGTTTTCAAGTTTCCTCCAACAGTCCAAAAAACACAATCTAAGTTAATTGAACATGGCAAATTGATACCATAGCCAAGCTCATTAGCGAGTACACCTCTCCTCAGCCATCCTAAATCTGTCATTAGCCAGAAGCCGAGGGGAGTTTATCGAGATCTGCCTGAGCTCAAACTCTCCTCTCACCCTGCGAACGGAAGGGAGCCCACGGCTTGAGAATCTAATTAGCTCAGGGCTCTCTCCAGGGACAGCATGCCAAACAAGCTTTATTATCCATCATCAAAGTGTGAACTCTTGAATGCATTTTAAAAAGAGCACATACATGCTTTAGTGAAAACACAGCAAATAAAACGTAAAAATTCCCCGTTAAACTACAAAGGACCTTGACTTTCCATAGTTCAGAGAAGAAATATTAAGTGCAATACATCAAAGAAAGCAAATAGTAACTTATAATAAATGTTTTGCCACATTAAAAATGTGTCATTTCTCAATGCTGGTGTTTCAGTACAACTAACTGTAAGGAACGATCTGGAAGCATTCTTGGTCAAGCTGTGTACTGATAGAAAACTGGCTTAAAGGGTCACGAAACACCAAAACACATTTTTTGAGCTGTTGACAGTCGTATATGTGTTCCACACTGCTAAAAACAATATTAGGACACCTATATTTCACTAAAAAGTGAAAATTGGTTGTTTTTGCGTTATTTCGAGCAAATTCGTACTTCCGGTTTGAAACGAGTTTTTGAAGTTGCGTCCCGGCCATGAGATCTTAGCGTGTATTTCAGCATGTAGACTGGACGTCTGTACCTGGGAGTACCGTATTACGTCTCCGAGTGTGCTACATTAATGCATGAGTAAGGCTTGGTTCAAACCAATCAGCGCGCTCTATTGTGCAACTTCATTATTATTCATTAATGTTACAGTGTTTAGACGGCAGAGAGACGCCATGTTGTGTTGGCAAAACAAGCGTGCAGTGTTGCTTTTACAATTTGCTGTAGCGAAGGTTTTATTTTCATTTTCTCTCTATGAGAGCGCAGCTGGACTCACGTGTGGATTGCAGTGCACGCGACGCTTGACAACAATATGTGTCTAAGGAACATTGTTAACCCGAGAGCTTTTCCCATCTGCAAATGGTGAGATCCGGATTTGCTGTTCGTCTCCTCTTAATAAAGACACAGCTCTAGTTGCTGTTGCTTGTCCTGTCTCTACAGATTTAGTAAGTGAACGACCAGTGATCTTTCTTTATTCAGATGGCAAAGTTAGTTCGTATCAAACTAACTATTACACAGAGTGTAAACATGTTAGCACCACAATCAAACATACCGTCGTGTAGGATTTACACTGCATTTTGTGACCAGAATAACACACACTGCTTTCTGCTACCTAAGTTTCCAGGAAATGCGAAGGGTTTTTTCTCTCATTCGCTGTGCGGTAACAAACATTGCATGAAAAATACACGCTTAGAAGTTCCTCGAATAAAATTTCTCGTTTGTCACAAGGGGCATAAATGAAATTCCTGAATGAAAGAGCCAAACTGCAGTTAAAGTCCACCATTTAATATTTTGTCAAATAATTCGATTACTGATGTCCAAGTAAACACAGTCACTTTCTCCCCTGTGTGTGTGTGTGTGTTTGTTTTGACTCTGAAAATCAGTGCATGCCCAAATTGACACTCCCATAACATCCCTCTTTTGCTCCACCGACACTCCCCCCTAAAGAGAGCTGGACACGCCCACTTTCCTGACTTTTTCCAAAGTAGAGGTGTGAAAACACCCTGCTGAAACAAGGGGGTTTCATAGCCCTTTAAGTTAACCACTTTCATATTTTATTACTTTAATAAAATGTTTTACTTACTCCTTCCATCCATAAATTTTTGTAAGAAGGTGTTCCAGTCTCCTGGTTCAGGCTGTCCCATGTTCATTCGATCAAAATGAAAATATGAAACTGCATTGTCTTTTGCATTCCGTGCTACATACACAACCTGGAACAAAAAGCCAAATATAAGAAAGAAAGAAACTTCTGCCTTGATTTAAATGTTATGTTAATGAATATCTACATGGCAATGCTGCTATGCTGCTGCTTCATCAAAAAGTTTTTTGCACACCACTGAGACATGGAACAGAATTTTTCTGTTTGCTATCGATCTGTGCCTGTGCTACCCTAGTGACTGGCTCTAGTGAACTAGACTATGTATGCCTGGCCTAAATTGCAGAATTACTTAACACTAGTGCAGTGCTTCCCAAAGGGTTTTGCACAACAATGAGACAGAGGGTATAACCAAAAATCTAAATATTTTTTTAACTCTTAGTTATCATATTGTATCTATAATTAACAAAAAAAAAAGGACTTAATAGTTGCATTTAAAAAACAACAACATGCAAATATTGAGTTGCGGCTGGAAGGGCATCCGCTGTGTGAAACATATGCCAGAACAGTTCACAGTTCATTCCGCTGTGGTGACCTTTGATACATCAGAGACTAAGCCGGAGAAAAATGATTAAAAAACATGCAAATAAAATGCCATCAGCCTTTGGATTTTAACTCCTGGGGTGATTACATCAGTTGACACAGCAAAAGCGTCAGTTGCAGCAGATTTTTTTACCATGTTTTTACCATGGCAAACTTTCTGACACCTTATCAACACTCATATATATTAAAAATAAATACAGGTCACGACTGAACGAGAAGAATTATTTCTGTGTGGAGGTCCCCGGAATAAAACCAACAATGCTGTGCTTGCTGTGTGAAATGGAACAAATGAATAAATTCCTAAAATAAAATGATATGGTTGTTAGACTGTTGCATTTTTTTATATTGTCAATATGCCAATGTTTATATATGCCTATTGGTGTGTGTGTGTGTGCTACATTGCACACAAAGTTTGTATACATACAATTAAAGTCAGAATTATTAGCCCCCCTTTGAATTTTTTTATTTCTTTTAATATTTCCCAAATTATGTTTAACAGAGCAAGGAAATTTTCACAGTATATCTGACAATATTTTTTCTTCTGGAGAAGAAGTCTTATTTATTTTATTTTGGCTAGAATGAAAGCAGTTATGAATTTTTTAAAACCTATTTTAAGGTCAAAATTGTTAGCCCTTTTAAGCTAATTTTTTTTCGATAGTCTACAGAACCATAATTTAACAATAACTTGCCTAGTTACCCTAACCTGCCTAGTTAACCTAGTTAAGCCTTTAAATGTCACTTTAAGCTGTATAGAAGTGTCTTGAAGAATATCTAGTCAAATATTATTTACTGTCATCATGGCAGAGATAAAATAAATCAGTTACTAGAGATGAGTTATTAAAACTATTATGTTTAGAAATTTGTTGAAAAAAATCTGCTCTCCATTAAACAAAAATTGTTGAAAAAAATTACCAAGGAGTCTAATAATTCAGGGGGGCTAATTATTCTGACTTCAACTGTATATAACAGGGGTGGCCAACCCTGTTCCTGGAGAGCCACCTTTCTGCAGATTTCAGTTGCTACCAATATCAAACACACCTGAACCAATTAATTAGGACCTGAACACCATGTGATAATTATAGGCAGGTGTGTTAATATGGGTTGCGATTGAAATCTGCAGGAAGGTGGCTCTCCAGGAACAGGGTTGGCCGCCCCTGGTATATAACTACCTCTGAGTATGTTGGGAGGTGCAAATCATTTATTAATTCTCTTTTCAGCTTAGTCCCTTTATTAATCTAGGGTCGCCACAGCGGAATGAACAGTCAACTTATTTAGCACGTTTTGTGCAGCGGATGCCCTTCCAGCTGTAACCCATCACTGGGAAACATCCATCCTCTCTAATTCACACACATACACTACAGACAATTTAGCTTACCCAATTCACCTACAGCACATGTCTTTGGACAGGAGCACCCGTTGCGATCACCGGGAGAACATGCAAACTCCACACAGAAATGCCAACTGATCGAGCTAAAGATCAAACCAGCGACCTTCTTGCTGTGAGGCGATTGTGCTACATCTACCACGACGCCGAGGCGCAAATCATTGACTTTTTAATTTAAGGGTCTTGGGCTGAAAATTTTGGGAAACATTGCACTAGTGTACTACAGAATGTGTCTAACATTCTGGGTCTAACATCGAGGTCTATATTGTTAGCCCTTTTCCACAAGGCAGTTTGAATGCTGGTTCATGACAATGCATAAATGTTCCATTTGCTTGTAATCTGCATCTATACAAACTACAGCATTCTGCAAGAACACAGTGGATTGGGATTGTGTTTGGATACTGATCTAGATTCACTAACTCATTAGCATTAATACTATAGCTGTACCTTTGAGTTCTGCTCCCAGAAGGACTTGGGCACAAGCTGCACAGGTAAATGTGTTTTAATGAGGCGAGGAGAGGTGGGCAGAGTATCAGCCAGCTCTGTACCTGAAAGTCAAAATTAAATGTGATTCTAGAGTTGTCCTTACAGTAAAATACACAATAATATAAATTACATTTAAATAATACAGGATAATAATGTTAAATTTATTGTCACTTAAGTGTAGAAGCTACACTTTATGAGTTTGGCAAAGTGGCTCTACCAATTCCAAAGTCAAAAATTTCTCTGTTTTCATAAATAAGACAATTTGACCAAACATTCTGACATAAAAAAACAACAACCCTTTACCAGCTTCCTACCTGAAAATGAAGAAAACCCATCCGAAAACATTAATAAATTATTGTACACTCATTATATTTTGGCTTCTGACCTAATGGTAATCCTTGAAAACACATCTCCAAGAAAGGCACTCTCATATAGATAGGCTGGGAGGTCTGACGCTCTGGACTTTCATTGCCAAAGTATAGAAGGTCAAGTATGTATGAAACCCAGGTGGTACCTACAAGAAAAAATACAGAGTAGAACTTACAGTATTGCTTGCTGCAAAACCTTTTCTTAGAGACATAAAGTAAATTTATAATGTGCTTAAAAGTTAGCACTGATAAGTGCAGACATTTAAAATATTGTATGTATCTGCGAATAAGAAAACCCATTTTATTAGCAAAACTTACACACTTTTACAGCAGATTTAATTCAGACAGATATCAAAGACCAGGGGCCTCATGTAAAAAGACTTGCAATGAATTTAACCCAGGGTCATTGTAGAAACGTAGTCCCACGGACGTTTCTGGAGGCCGCGGAATACGTCCCGGTAGGTATGTACGGCTGCAGTTTTAGTTTTCGCGAATCCGCGAGAGGCCGCTGTTGTGCGCTTTTTCGCATTTCAAACGTGCAGTTCGCGCCCGCGCTGTTCTCGCGTAAACCCACTAGAGGCCGCTGACCGTTTGACCGGATGATTGACTGCGCGACCGGCCAATCGGCTGACCCGCCCTCCTCCTTCCCTAAACCCAACCAATTTTACCAATTGACCCGCCCGCCTGCTCACTTCCCTAAACCCGAGCAACAGTTTACAAAAGCCGTCCAAAAAAAGAAAAGCCCTGATTTTTTTTTTCTACCGCGTTTTCGGATTTCACCACGTTCTCACCATGTTATGAAACTCATTCACTTAATTTTTGGGATTCTGTTTTTGTCTTACCTGATTGCTGGAACCGCTCTTCCCCGGACTCGAAACCGATCGGCGTGGTCAACTCCTCTCTGCATCTTAAGCCTGCCGCAAACACGGTGAGCTGAGTGGACAAACGGGTTGCTGCGGGAAAGCCCTCCACAGGGAGGTAAGCGGTCGGCCGGCCGGCCGGCAAGCGCGAAAGGAAACAGCGTCACACCACCTCGTAGCGTTCGCTTCAAAAAAAAATAAATGCAGCCGTACGTACCTCCCGGGACGTATTCCGCTGTCTCCAGAAACGTCCGCGGGACTACGTTTTCAGAATAAGCTTGGGTTGGATGAATTCATACTAAAACATTGGGTACTGACAAAGCTGTAAAAGTACGAACGCAGTAAAAAAATCAGATGTATGAAACACTAAGTATGCAGAATCCCATGCATATTCTTTTTGTACATTCGAATTAATGTGAAACTGAGTGCACGTGCATGAGTGCAAAACCCTTCCTTGCCTCCTCCCCCGTATAAATATGGTAATGACTCCACTTTGGCAAAACCAAACGAAAAAGCAATGGCAAAGCAAGCCAGAAGTGAAACTTCACAGAATGTGAATGGGAGGTGCTCCTATCGCAGGTAGACCGGAGAAAAACTGTGTTATTTGCAAGTTTGTTCTCCGGAATTAATAACAAAAGAAAAAAATAGAGTGGGAGAGTTTAGCTGACACGGTTAACAAAGTGGGGTCTGAACATTGCACCGTGAGTGAATTAAAAAAGAAATGGTCCGATGTAAAGGTGCAGGTTAAGAGGAAAACAGCGGCGCACCGTCATAATGTGGACATTAAGACACATTTACAGCATGACACAGATGTATTAGAGGAAAACTTTGTTAGGGCTGTATAGCAGCACCCCTCCTCTCTTATCAAGGCAGCGTCACCGGCATTTCAGCTGCCCAATTGCCCGCTCTACAACTGACTACTTGGAGCCTCATCCTTACCATGCTGTTTGTGAGGATGAATTAATCATGGGTTGACCAAGGCCACCTTGCTACAATATTTGTTAAGCGCATTTGAGCATCACATATCGTTAGCACATTTATTAAACGGAAATGTTTCCAATTCACGTATGCATATTTGTCTACAGATGGCGATCTTTATAGCAATGTCTCACTTTAATTTCATCATTAGTAAATCCAAACGTGAGCATGAAATCTGGCGTACGCAAAGTTTTTGTGCGTACGCAGCATTAATACATGATGGCCCAGATGATTTCACTCAAATCACTTTTAAATGTTTATTTTTAAATAATTTTAAATAGGCAATATGTATTTTTTTTAAGTTTAAATGTGCCCTATAAAGAAAATCTGGGTATATCTACACATGGTCGAATAACAGGAGTTCAGCACATAGAAATGGCCATACTGTGAGCCTCAACCAAAATTGTTTCCTTGTTCTCATGTAAATTACGGAAGTGTGAGAATGTGTCTGGTCCACATACCTGGGAAAATTTTAGCGACATTTCCACATGTAACATTAACTTTTGTAGAACCGTTTTAGAGTGGCACCGCCAGTATTTTGGCCATATTTAGCTATAATATTGTGGTACAATCATAGTACCGGCAAACTATGTGACCCTACACTAGCTACGTTTTCATTCACCCATTTATTATTATTTTATTATTATTTATTATTATTTGCATTTTAGATGTGCACATAAAAATAGGTGGATGGAAATGCCAAGATGTTCATACATTTTAAAATGAACTGAGTAGGATAATCTTTTAATGTGATAAGAAAAGATGTGCATACGCTACATTGGAAACCCTTTTAATAAACAATATCCAGTATGTGCATTAAAAAAGGTCATGATGAAATTGTGTGTGAATGAACAAACTAGCAGGCTGAGCGCATTGTAAAACATCTGAAATGCTGTTTTGGTAATTCTAAAATGGTTAGGAAGTTCAGTATTAGTGTTATTATATTATTAAATACCTACAGAACAGTCAAGAGCATCTGTGCTCAATGTCTCACGCCTTCAAACGCCACCACGCGTTCATTGCGTGTCGACATTTGTCTTCTGAAGTAATTTATTAAATAAAGAAAAGATTCACTCAGCTTCTTCAAATTCAATAAATTCTTTTTTTACTTTTGATATTTGGCGCCAGTTAATTAGTGATGATTTTGTTCATTTAACTCGGATGGAAACGCTGCTTTATTCGCACATCTTTTAAGCGATATTCCAGTTTTGCACATAAATTTGATTCACATTTTTGGATGGAAACATAGCTTCTGTTGTGGTTGCTGCTCTGTGGAGTCACACAGGTAGAATTACACTTGTAGGTCTTCACATAAAATTTCAAAAGATTGAGATTTTTAAGATTAAGAATAACTGACAGTGGGCAACATTGTCAAAACATTGTTAAATTTATTACAAGGTATTACTCAAATTTTTAAAGTTTTTTATGCACTGACAGAAAGATTAAGGTGTGAATTTTCTAAATATGCGAATCACTCGACAATGTTTGGGCATAATGATATTATCTTATAGAAAAACTGTATGTTAAACTACCCAGAAAGCAAAAGAATTCTGGCCCACATTTGGCAAAAATCTGGCACAACAGGCATTCATTCAGCACTGGCACACAGCAAGTAGGCCAAATATGGCTCTGGTTTGGCAGAGGTGGCACCGTCTTTAAGGCGGCACCCAATACTTGGCCCAGATGTAAAATATAGTATTTGGCCCAGATGTTAATAATTGATATGTGGGCTATGCATATATTTGGCCTATCTTGACGCACATTTAAAATACCATTTTATTATTTTAAATGAAGAAAAAAATTCTACCGATCGGATCGCTTCAAGAAAAAGCACACCCATAGCACACCTAAAGCACAATGAATCATGGGTTTATCAATGTAATTGCAGCCGTGGCACACCAAAATATCTGGCCCAGTTATGGGTTACTAACTTGACTGAGACTTGGCCCAGATATGTTAAAATAAGGTGAATTAAATGAAAAATAAGAAACATCCTGGATCTGTTTCTTCACTCTTCTTTATTCTTTCTTTATGTATTATAGAAGTATCGGATTAGATTTTGATATCGGAAGATACTCAAATGAAAAAAAAACCCTGATCGGGACATAGTAAGAGATATCTGAAATCATATGACTAAGAGATATAAAAATGAAAAGCAGTCAGGATCTACCTGAAAAAACTTTAAATCTGCATTTCCCTGAAAATAATCCAACACATTTCAATGTTCATGAAGTAGTCGGGATTAATAATTCACAGCCTGGGGATGTAATTCTAACTAAAGCTTGTAATAAGATGCAATTTACAACGGAATCTAAGTTTAATGTGTGTGATAACTGTTACTATCAGCAGTAAAGTATCAGGACTTTGAGACAGCAAACAGTTTTCTTTCTTTTTTCTAGTCAATAGACACAAGTATAAAATGAGAGCAGCCTTAAATGAAAGTGTTCTGAAGTTCAGAAAGCGCATCATAAACATCATTATTCCTATATGCTAAATTAAATAAATTGTTTTTTGTGTAAAACTTTAAGATGCCCTCACCTGCTTTAGGGTAAGTGGCAATTAGAATGTCATCAGGTCTTGCCTGAAAATTTTTCACTTTTTCCCAGTTGTCAGTAAAATAGCAGGTCATGGAAACACCCTCAAAATCAATCAGCTCAGGCCGGCTATCCAGTTTCATCTGCAAAATGTAAAAGTGCCAGTTAAATGGTAGATCTTCACTACACTCAATGGAAAATTTCTTTGTGGATATTTTCAATGTGGAAATTTAAGTAGATTCTAGACATCCATAACAATATCCAGCCTGATCTCACGAGAAAACGTTAAGTATTTTACGTTTTGTCAGTTTAGTGGCTAATTCGTACGAATTCCCACCCCTAAACGAATTAGATCGTACGAATTCATACGAATTAGCCACTAAATTAAAAAGTTACAAATGGCTGGAGATTGTGTTGCAATATTAGTGAATAAAGTACACAAAGTACGCTTCTAAAGTTGAATAATGAAAGAAATAAATGTATGATAAATTGTGCAAATTCTGTATCGTTCATTCCTAATTATTGTATCTTAAAAAGATGAATGATGCAGCTGTTGATCTATACCATCATAAAGATATATATATATACTCACTGAGGAAAAGTCAGGGATCTCCATTATAGTGAAAAGATATTCCTTCTTTAAACAAGCGTTGTTAATCCTCTCTCCTTTTTGCTTCCAGCTCTCTTTTGCTCGCCTTCAATGTTTCCTTGTAGCTCCTACATATGTAATTACATTCTGAGCTGTCATGCAATGCTGATGTCTACAAATCACGGCTTATCTTATCTTTAATGTGCAAATTAAGGGCAGTACACATGGCCAACAAAACTCTATGATTTTACAAGTTAGCTGCATTCGAGTTGCATTTGGGAAATGTTACATGACAGGAATTGCTCAAACAAAAACATTTAGAGGTTTGTTACAAGTAATTTTACAACAGGGTAACGATTTCAGCTGAAATTAAATGTGTGATATGAATAATTATTAAATAATTTATAAATTATCAATAACCAATCATTTCCCAGAGATGGGTTATGGCTGAAAGGGCATCCGCTGCGTAAAAACGTGCTGGATAAGTTTGTGGTTCATTAAGCTGTGGTGACCCCAGATTAATAAAGGGACTAAGCCAAAAAGAAAATGAATGAATGAATGAACAATAACTTAACTTTGCTAAATTTGATTGTATACAATAAGGTGCACCTTTTCTAAAGCTGTTTTAATTCAATAATCGTTGTGAAAAGCACTATACAAATGTACTTGATTTTATTTGAATTTAATTAAAGCATGTCCTGATTTTGCCAAGTGCTAGTTGTCCTGAGACTAACATTTTTTATGATGACCCAGGCACAACAACTCCATCAGCCAATCAAATGTCATGACGTCATCATTTTGTGCCCCCTGCAAAGCCTGCAAAAAAATAAAAAATAAGAAAAACACACCTGAATTTTTACCAGTGAAAAGGTAAGATCACAAGCTTTCTCTAATAAATTTATGATCACAAAATTAATATTTGTCTATGGATTTGCTCTGTTTTTCCAGCTTAGCGAACATTAGTTTGCATTGACAAGTTAGCCTAATTAGCCATCCATACAAACATTAAATTGATGTGCCCTAATGTACATTCTGGCTCAAATTAAAACAAGATAACAATTTGAATTTTTTTTAATAGTGTGCCTAGCTATCAAACGCGATTAAACTTGGGTGTTTTTCTAGCTTAAAGCGACCGCAAATTTGTCTAATACTTCTGTTTTAGTATATTATGCTACTTCTAATTTCTGTTGTATCGCGTTCAGTTTTATTCAAAGATAAACAGAACAAAACACTTGCTTAAACACACAAGAGTATTCGAGACACTAACATACTGTGATTCACTGTAAAATCTAGGTTGAGTCGATTTAATCAGATTATTTATTCTGTCAGGTCATTAATATATTTAACGTTACCTCAGGTCATCGTAGCTGATTAAATAATACATATCATTATCATGTTTACCTCTGGTCATCATCGCTGACTTATTTATATGATTAATGGTTACCTCAGGTCATTATCACGGATTTATTAATGAATGTTCACCTCAGGTCATCATAAAGCCTCCTGCTGCTTAAGACTGTGGCATAAAATACCCAATTTACTTTATAAAATATATAAACTATACATGCAATTACATTGAAAGTCTATTCGGCAACTATGTTAACAGTGTGTCAAATGAAGTCATCTTTATTTCTATAGCACTTTCCGTCAAATCTGCTTTAAAGGCTTTAAGGGTGAACAGGCAAACACTCAATGTCAGATTAGAAAATTTCATCATTGTGGAACATGTTCAGAAAAAAAATCAAGCAGTCAGCAGTGGGAGTGGTACAGTGGTAGAATACAGGTGTAGTTCTAGTTAGATAAAAAAGATTCAGATAAGTTCAATGAGAATGTGACTGTAAGAGAACTTTATCTACAGTGGTTTGAGCTGTATAGGATTGCCGAAAGACTTGTTAGTGAAAAACAGCACATTTCTTGTCTATTACCATCTGTGGTGGTCCGATGTGCAGTGCAGAAGATAGAAACAAAGTGTGGATCCAAATGCAGCATTGAACACATTTAACGAAAAACTATAACAAAACTAAACTAAAACAAGGCAAAACACACCAGGAAACACACAGGCTTTGTGGGAGCAACAAAAAATGGAGAGGGAAACACAAACTGGTATAAATAGTCCTAGTAATAAGTGTAAATAAACTGCAGCCGTGTGTGAGTGAGTGTCCGGATGATGGTCAGCTGGAGAAGGTGTTGATTGTCGCACAACATCATGGTAGATGTAGTTCTTGTGGTGTGTGTGTGTAGTTCACCAGCGATCAGTTTCTAGACCGCTGGTGATTGTTACAGAACACCCCCCACCACCCCCTTTTTGGAGTGGGTTTCAGACACTTCCATGGAGGAGGGCAGTGGAGCGGAGGGACAACCGGGGGAGGGACGGAGGGTCAGGTCCATGCAGTGGAGATGGGCCTGAAGCATGGAGCTGTGGAAAGCCTGGAGCGTGGAGCTGCGGAGGGCCAGGAACGTGGAGCTGAGGAGGACCTGGAGCGTAGAGCTGAGGAGGGCCTGGAGCATAGAAGCACTTCAGGGAGCACTGAGAAGTCACATAGCTCTGGCCGTACTGGGAAATTACACAGATTCAGGAAAATCTGGTGCATGTGGGGAATCCTGGAGGATCTGGCGACCTTCATTCTGGAAGCTCAGACGGTGGTCGATTGGGAAGCTCAGGCGGCAGCGGCCGATCAAAAAGCTCAGGTGGCGGTGACCCAGGTAGCAAAGAATTCTGGCCCAGATTTGGCATTTGCCAGATTGGGCACTGGCATACAGCATGTGGGCTAAACATGGCCCTGGTTTGGCAGAGGTGGCACCGTCTTTAAGGCGGCACACAATACTTGGGCCAAATCTAAATTGTAATCATTGGTCCAGATGTTAATAATTGATATGTGAGCCATGTATGCTTGGCCTATCTTGACCCAAATTTAAAATATCTTGTTATTATTTTCAAATGAAAATAATTCTACCAATCAAGTCGCTTCAAGAAAAGGCACACCCAGAGTGTGCCTGCAGCACAATGCTTCATGGGTTTATCAATTTCATTTGACACACCAACATATCTGGCCTAATTCAGGCTCAGTAAAGGGTCATTAACTTGGCTGAGACTTGGCCCAGATATGGTCTATGTTAGCCCCTTGTCTGGAAGCCAGACTTGGTGCAGTCATGTACCATAGTTCACTGTGGCATGTGGGCCAAGCAACGGCTGATTGTGTGGGCCAGAGCTGGGCCATAGATATTTTGCTATGTGGGGAAGATGGCTCTGGCAACCTAGGCAGTGGTGGTGGCGATAAAGACTCTGGCAATGATTCTGGCAGTGATAAGGTGCTGGTGGCCATTTTGTGAGAGGGTGTTCATCGATAATCAGGGCAAGATTTAGGCCCTACTCACACTAGGTACAGTTGCCTCGAACCGGGCAAAAGCACGCTTGTCCCCCCTCCTGTCTCCCCCGACGGCCCGCATTCACACCACGAATGGGCCTCGGCACGCTTACGTCATCGCTGCTGCGCTGTTCAGTTACAAGCACTCTCTCACTCAGCAGCATAGTGGAGATTTCTCTAGTTATATCGTTTCAGTCGTTTGTTATGCAGTGACATGCTGTCAAATATTTCGTCAAACAGTCCTTAGGAATGCAGTGACACGCAGTCAGATATTTCGCCGAACAGATCCGCCACTTTTGGCGCTCAAAAACAATCATAATGCTGCAGGAATGAGGAGGTCTGCTGAAGCCGCGCAGCTGTCATGATGTGAGGAGTTCTTGTCTTTAATAAACTACGGCAGTTTGCGTTCACTGAACAGTAAGAATGATTAATAAATCCATATGAAACAGCCCCTTAAAAGTCACGTCTCGCTTTCAGTTTCGGGCTTTGGCGCGTTTTGCACTCACACACAAGCGTACTGCGCCAAAGCCCAAGTGAACCGCGCTCAGGCACACCTCTTCCAACCGGGCCAGGGCCGGCCAAGTGAACCGTGCTTGAGCCCGATTCAGCGCACTCACACTTCTCAAACGATCCGGGAAACGGGCCTGGGCACGGTACGGATGGCATAGTGTGAGTAGGCCCTTAGTAAGTCATAAAGGGACTCTCAAGGACCATAACTGGTGAGGGTGGTCTTTAAAGGTTCATTCAATCAATAGCAGAACATTTCAACCAGTAGAAAATCAGGGAGATCTGTTAGCTGAGCAAGGTTTATGTAGTCCTTTATGTGATCCTCGAGGGCAGTCATGTTGGCATGTCCTAATGAGCCAGATCGCTGGGTCCATCTTCAATATGGCCGCTCCAAAATGTGTGTGTGTGTGTATATATATATATATATGAATATATATATATATATATATATATATATATATATATATATATATATATATATATATATATATATATATATATAAGTAACACTTTTAAATGTATATTAAAATAGTGAGAGCTACGGTGGTTTTAGAAAGAACTTGATTTAATCGTGCAGGGTCATACACAATACTTCACATAGCTAATACTTCACTATGTGCAGTAGCACTAGATGTTCGAAGGGAGACTTTGTCCAGATAAACTATCTGATCCTGTTATTAATTTACTAAATATTACATAATATGTCAGCAGTCTGCTGTTGGGAGCAGTAGTTACATCAGTGTGTACTGTAAATTCGCTAATTCATTTTACTACAAATGTTACTACACAGTGTCCTAAATTCCACGCTCCCTTCTTAGCTCCCTGTTTTTTTAAAGAAATATTTATATTTGATTGATATTAATATTCATTATATTAATGACTACAGCATCCATAATCGAAATAAGCCAACATATATGCTATTGTTTAACCACAACTCACCTCAAAATTGCAATAAACAACTGTTTCTATCTCAAAGCTGACTCCCGATTTTAAAATTAATTAACATATTTTGAAACATGAAAGGGTTGCTGTAAGAAGTTTTCTGGTGATGTCAACAGGTGATTGTAATTGTGATTTGGTGCAAAAGCAGCATCCAGGAAACATCTAGTCCTTTAGGAGCAAAGATGGGCTGAGGATCACCGGTTTGCCAACGAAGACATGAGAAAATTATTGAAATGTTTAAAAACTATGTTCCTCAAAGAAAAATAGGAAGACATTTGGATATTTTACTTTCAACAGTGTGTAACCCATCGAGTAAGGATAAGTATATAACTAGC